ATTTGAGATTGTTGGTAATTCGTCAGACCATTTTGAATCCACAGACAATCATGCTGGTAATGAAAGTGAATGAAAGCGAAATATTTATTGAATTCCAGTCGAAATAACTAAAGTTTGATGAATATGTATCCGTGTCACGTTCGAACTTGTTGGTTTAGCAGAGGGCATGAATTAGTTTTTATGTGGATGTAGGATTTCACCTGTTCTTACTTGACTAATTGACATCCAGTGTCGGATACTGGATCAACTGAGTACGCTAACCCCTACGTCTTTAAATAATCAAAGCTGAGACAAAGCTAAACTGTTGGATATAGCTCACCAATTCCTTAATCGTGGACCAAAGCAGAGAAGCATATTAACTATTCAGTATTTTAAATCACTAAAATAAGTACGAACAAACCCTGATATTGTCTTGTTAAAGCCTGATAAAAGATCAGGCGTGATTGTCAAGAACAAATGTGAATGTAAAAGTAAGACATTATCCATTCTCAGTGATGAAAGTAAATTTATGCCTGATGGTGAATTTGCAGGTATTAGCAAAGTAGAGGGAAGAATAAATTCAAACCTAGTGAAACTGTTACACATGAATATTATTGGTAGAGAGGAATTTAATTTCCTAAAGCCTATTGATTCTGAGTATCGTCATTTACATGGATTACCTGAAATTCACAAACCAAACATTTGTTTACGCCCAATTGTATCAGTGCGTCGTTCACCTACACATAACCGAGCTAAATTACTGGATCCTGTTGGAACACGTTTATATAAGTATTCTGTGAAGGATTCTTTTGAGTTGGTCGATCATTGAAGTGATATTAATATCAAGAGAAAGACAATGTGTTCATTTTACGTGAATTCCCTGTTCACAAATATACCACTGAAAACGACTGTTGATATATTATGTGACCACATATCTTTGAACAGCCTTAAAAAACTACCTGTTCCTTTAAAAATCCTTAAAGATTTAGCACTACTATGTATTGACAACGTCCAGTTCATGTTTGAAGGTGAATAGTTTTGCCAGGTCGACTGGTTGCTATGGTTGGTCCATTAGACCATTATTAGCAGACGTGTTCATAACACACGTTGCAAATCTAGCTGAAGACCTAGTCGTAAACATGTCTGTTTATAAGAGATATGAAGATGACATCTTAGTTATCTGGGAAAGAAATAACGATATGGATTGTTTATTGAGTAGACTTAGCACTCTGCAGAATCACATCAGCCTTTCATGTGAAGAGGAGAAGAATGATCGGCTTCTCTTCTTAGATGTGCTAATAAGTAGACGAGAAGATGGTTCAAGCAAACGATCCATCTTTCGAAAACCAACATTGACGGGCCAATACGGACCTTGGTCACAATAGTTACTACCCGGTGCAATACAAATGAGGTTCGATGAGCGGTCTGTTTAATAGAATTAATCGTGTTCGCACAAACGACGCTATTGATGGGGACGTTAGGTTGTTAAACAAAACACTAGTGGAAACTGGCTATCCCTTAAAATTCATAAATAGATGGAAAGGTCACGGTATACTGGGGCCTACTATAACCTTGGCAGAAAGAAACCTGTCTACATCATTTTTCGATTTAGAGGTGATTCAAATGGCTTTTTACTGAAACAAAGGCTTAAATAAGTTGTTAACAGGACGTATTACGCAGCAAAGGTCTTTATGAAAGAGAAAACAATGTCCATGTCTCAGCAAAAACGTAAAAGACATGGAAACGATTGCGTCACATGCCACTGTGTTTATCGATTTGAATGTGTGTGTGGCCACATATACATGTGGAGGAGTAATCGTGATCTCCAAATTAGGGTGCGCGAACATGTACCTAAGTGGTTGCAAAAACAAATAAAATCAAGTGATCCAATAAGAGTAGATGATGAACATCCATTCATGGAGGAAATTCACTGACTAACGTTAATATTCGTAATAATAACAATAATAGTGATAATAATATCACTACTACTACTACCACTACTGCTGCTATTCGAAATACTGCTATTTCAAAAACTACTACTACTACTACTACCACTATTTCTACTATTGCTGCCACTGTTTATCCAAGATCAAATACTGTCGTGAACGCTCAGTACTCGAGATTCCTTAGAATATGTGCTCTGACATGGTCGACTTCCTGGAATTTATTATTCATGAGAATTCCATGCGATTTACATTCATCCCACAGTAACACGTACGATACCCCATACACTATTGACCGGTGAAACAATCAAAAACACAAATGTGAATAGTTAGAAAATTTATTTTCATTTTTTATATTACAAAATGGACATGACGTCCAAGCTTTTTGATTGCTTGGCCTGGACGTTTTAAACATGTCCGGGTTTTGCATAGCTTCAAATCATTGTTTGGCATTTTGCTGCCTGATGGTGTGCGTCTTCCGTGAAAAACCGTGTTTTTTTCTTTTATTTGTTTGTCATAATCAGTAGGTTCTTTTGTAGAATAGTGATAATAATAATAATTACAACAGTTGCAGTAACAGTAATAGTGATAATTGTAGTAATAATAGTAGTAATCACAATGATAGTATTGGTAGCAGTAGTAGTAGTAGTTGCAGTAGAAATAGTGGTAATAGCAATCATTGAGACACTTTTGTCCACAATCTATATGACGGTCCATAGATATAATCACTTATTTGCGAGCGTTATATAATTAGACCGCTCAGCAAATGCGTTTTTACAAACTGATTATCATCGCGCTAGACTGATATTATATAGACTTGACATATGTTTAGACCATTCCCATTCAAATTTGAATAGAAAAAGTCAATCGAGTCAGGTGACTGTAAATCAATCAAGAATGTGTGTTCGAAATCAATGTCATTTATGGGAAGGATGATGAAAGTAAGGAGTAAAATGACGGAAAACGTTAGTCAGTCAGCCATTTACGTTAGTCATGAAGGCTGATTTGGTGAACATAATCTCATTCTGGAATAAGAATGAAAAACGTGAGTTTAGATTATGCAAATGGTCAGAGTAGAGGTGGACATTGTACAAACATCTCAGGATAAGAGGGATGATCAGGTTCGTTCATACACTGCTTTCGGACTGGTTGGAATATGACTGACATTTTCACGAGAACTAAATTTAACATCAAGTAGACGGGAATTCGGTCGACCTTGAGGATGCAGTATAGTCGTCCGTAATAAGAATAATAGTAGGTCAGATGACCTGTGTTAATCCTGGGTGTATGCTTACCAGTGAAGATTCAGTTTTCCTGGTAGACTCCTTCATATGCGTGTATGTTCTCTCATTTTGGTCCGAGTGTAGATTGTTATTATTGTTGTTGTTGCTGTTGTTGTTGTTGTTGTCACTTTGACCAAGCTCATATATTAGTACTAGCCTGCTTAGCTGAATACATACATTGACTTCATTTGCAGCATGTAAAACCCGGAAATCAAAGCAAAATCAGGAAAAACGTGCTCCATCTTTCAGAGTATTACTCTAACTTTTGGATTTTAGCTCACTGAAACATCAAATTCTGTAGCTACACAAAATAAATAGCGGAAAAACACAGAACGAAGAAAGCCGGCCGACATTTTTTAACACTAGACTAGCCAGATTGCCCGAAGAAATACATTGAGTTGAGAAGAAGCAGCAAAAACCCAGAAAACATCGCTTATTCGAACTAAACTTCACACCAACATATAGAACATTACACTAACGGCTTACAGAGATGGCGGATGTGATAATTCCCGCCTCATCCTGATTGGTTGCTAAGCTGAAGTGCACATTTACGAAATTGATTTGCGTTTAATTGCAGCCGTTAATTCCATGTAGTCAAATAGTTGTCACCAATTGTCTGTTTTAAGTAATGAGGAGAGTTGACAAACAAACGAACCAAATATTCATTTAACACGTCTAAAATGTTTCAAATATTTAAGTTTCGTCATCACGTCATAAAATTTATCAATTGGAAAAATCTTCAGAGATTGTATAGACCGGCCATTAGCAGTAATTAGGTAGGAAGTATAGCGGGGTATTTTTATCACTACATTTGGGTTCGTTATTTTGGTGTATAGCTGGAGAATGCTTGCAAATGCAACGTCAGAAAATTTTGTTTAATGAATGTTATATACTTCTCATTGCACAATGGCACGATGGACTTTGAAAACCGCCCCCAAATTCACTGCATTTAATCAGAGGTAGTTTTTTCAACGTTTCATTTTCAGTCAACCGACTTAATAGGAGTTAATATCACGTTTAACTTATTAGCCAGCGATATATATATCCTTAGTTTGTAAACGGCTACGAATGCTAACCGGAGCCTTGTACAAGTAAAATCTATGTGGACCTAATTCTTTGTTTACGGTATTAAATCTGCTCTAGTTAATACTGAATAACTAAAGTCACGCTGAACTAATTATACTTATGCCTGCATGTCTTATCACGCACGCTTTTCTCAGCAATTTCGACCAGCACTACTGCATTGAGTCTAAAATTTCCCACGATGCTTAGAGTGTTGTTGCTCATAAATAGAGTACATTTATTTCCTCTTGTCTCTGACTTCAAACTTTGTCAAATATGAGTTGAACTATTCCCGAAAATCTACTCATATTCTGTTTGACACTCTTCAAAATGTTGTGGATCTATTACTTGATACCTTTATTCTCTATCACGGCACTTGCTTGGATTCGTTCCATTCGTAAAACGTGATGAGTCACCTTGCCTCCATAACCGGTAGAGTTCAGTTTTTAGCCCAAATTTAAAGGCACAGATGTGTTTCCGAACGCATAAATAACCCACAAAGCTGTCAAAGTCGTTCAAAATCACATCAAAAATGACCATTGCTGCAGTTTAGCAGCAAACACTGACAGCGCATTTGTAGAGTAGTTAGATAAATACAATAGCATTCGAGCTGAATTGTTGTAAAAATGGTTTTCCCTCTTAAAATTTGTTTTTTCCTCTAAGAATACCTGTTTATTGCTGTAGCAATGATACAAGATTTACTGTGAAACGGTTCATTTCATAGTGGCATTGAGCGTCGTACATTACGTTACCAATTGATTGAATTGTGGCGCTGCAGTTAGTGTTTTTGTCTTACCATGTAGATTTTGTGTGGATACTAAGTATTTATATCATAAACGTGAGCTAAGATTTCACTGTGAAAATGTTTCAATAATCTTTGCTTGTGAATGTTCACAAGTGGTGTCAGTCTAATATATGCAAAACTAGCCCTCTAAACAAATGTTTTGTTACTGACTTTTGAAATTTCTTTTCCTATAATTAGTCCTAGGTTAGAGACATATGTACGGTATATTGACACAAAATTCGTATTTTTTTACTTGGAAATCCGAGTTGAAAAAGCATAAACTGGATGTGCTTAGAACATCCTCAAGCTCCCAAATTGAGCACAAAGTTATTTGATTATACATGAGTCATGGGACAGTTCCATTGAAAATTTTGAGAAAAAACAAGAAGATTCAAAGTTTCTCATAGTGAGGATTGTTTACAAAATATTCCTTAAACTCATCTAAGATTTTCATGCACTTTGAGAAAATGCTGAGTCGCTAATTGAAAATTCAAAAGATTTTACTGGTTTTGTCCCCAGAATGTACCCCACATTTTCTCAGGTTCAATAATTTCGAGGACCACTCTCTGACTTCACAAACGATACAATTTTCCTGTATGAGATCGAAATATGTACACGAATTCAAGGATCTGTGGTTTTAATAGTTTATTTATTTATTTTATACCGTATACATATGGGCCACACAAATCAGTTGTTTCGTGTGAGTCTGGAATACTACCTGGTTTCCTAGACTGAAGCAGGCGTTTTCCTAACAGGGCTACACCCTGAGCCTTCGACCTAATATTCTAATCCACAAGACAGTGAAGCAACATAAGATGCAGTCCCATGGTAGCCGGTGACCAACAATAGGTTCATACGCCATTTGTTCCCTCAGGATCCTGGAGCCCATGTGCACGACTGGTTTGAAATAAGGATTTTCCAACTCCCCTAGGTCGATCCTCCGTGTCCACTAACCCGTTTAAAGCGCCGGACATTCGCTTTTCATCCTCTAAATTCCGTAAACCACACTCCTGCTGCAAAAGTGCAGTGAGTATGACTTCCGTGAAAGTGGTTGTGTATACGCGGTCATGTGAAGGCATTTCTCGAGGATGAGTGACTCTCCCCACTCTCAGCTGTACCAGGGCACTTGGGGGCTAGGTCATTATCGACACTGATAATCTGGACAGAAACCACGTTTTCTATTAACTTCAGTTTGTGTAGAAGCTTGACTATTTACTGTGGTTGCTGCAGCGGAAAGCTTTTGCGTACAACGTATTTATCGTTTAATACTACTTCCAAAACTGTCTATCGCACGATCTTACACCGCCAAGTTATCAAACGTACTACAAGTAGTCTTTCTCAAAAACACTTCCCATACTTTACACCGTGATTGTCATTTTTGGTCTAAATGAGATTTCCATATCATCAATGAGGATGTTTATTAAAATAAATGAGTGATTCGGGAGGCTGAACTTTCGTTAATCCTGTTCGGTTGCATCAGTTATATTGCAAATTAGAAATCCAAAGTGAGAACGTTAATCATTTCTATCAAACGCTATGTATACATACAGATATATTCATTAGATAAGATTAGAATATACCAACGCTCACAAATGTTGTATGCAGTTAGCTGAAAATGAAATACAGTAAAATTTGTATACTCTTTGGAAGTGAGTAACCTACTGTAATGCCACCGTGTTTTTGGGGCAAGCTGAGAAGTAGGAACAAAGTCATTGAAATGTTTTGTTGCATCTGAAGATATTGCTTCGAAATTGCTTCTTCTTATTTCGCCACCACAGATGCTTTACTAACCAGGAGCTTTGGCTGATCTTAGATCATCCCGTTACAAAGTATATATGTCCTAGAAATCTATGTACACGGGACTAAATGTAGAACATTTGCATATGTCTATACTACTTGAATGGACAGGATCTATGAACTAGAGTGTTTATGAATTTGGTGAATTGCCCTCAAAATTCCTGGACATGGAAAACTGTAGGGTCAATTCTAGAAAAAAACAACCAGTTAGATCTTCTGGATTTCCAATTGGTGATTCATACCATTTTCCCAATGTGCATAAAAATCTTGGGTAAATTTAGTTTATAGTGGAAAACATCTGAGCTTTGTGAATCTTCTTGTTAAGTCTGAGAAAGAATCCTACACCTGGGAAACATTTGGGTGGATTTCGGGAAAAATTCCCATTCTTATTCATTAACGATCCTCTGGTTATTTTTTACCGAAACTTTCAATGGAATTTTCACTAAATTTACTAGAAATTGTTGTTTTTTCCCAAAGTTAGGAGTTTGGGCTAGCATACTTTGCTTAAATTCAAAGTTTTAATTCTTGAACCGCACTTGTAGGACATTTGTGAAAATCGTGGACTTTCAGTTAAAAAGGAACCCAAACCGGTGGTGATTTTGTGTATAAACTTGACAGCAGTGTAACTTTTTAGGTGTTTGCTAGATTTTTCCAAGATTTGCGCGAAATTCACACTGAATTTGTCAATTTTTCACCAAAGCTGGTAGCCTGGACATCCTACAAACATAATAATGAACTACGGTTCATCCCTTCTCGAGTTCATGCTGTCTGTCAACAGTCATCTGACATTTCTGAATACAATCAGATCTTGGATATAAACAGAGTCTTATTCATTAGTGGTTAGTATGTAAAGGAATACTATTTTAGTCATCCGACACATACCTATCTTCGTTAGAATTTCGTTTAAAAGACTAATCACTACTACGCGAGCTAAAATCACAAATTGTGTCGATACACTATGTGTTAACAAATATCAAAATACGTAAAGCCAGTCCAGAACATGTATAAGTCAACTTGGAACTTGCGTTTAAGTATATATTGGTAAACGTATCGATAGAAATATCGAAATCAGGAACCCAAATAAATTCATCCTAAATTTGATGTGAAATATCACAAATGTGAATTTCTGATCGAGAAAGGCATCTATCATTTCGAACCGCATTTTCAATACTTCATTATTATTACTACTGCATTATTCTTGTTCACTCACTACCCACTTTTTAAATTTTATCCCATTATGCTAATTTGGTTCGACGACTTGGGCAAATGCATAATTGTAACAGGACTTTTTATTATGACTGACCTTATGATTCGAAGTATTATATACCCTAGGTAACTCAAAGACATCTGTCTGTGCCGATTTCACGTGACCCAACCAAGAGTTTCATTACTTAATACCAAAATAAACTTTAGACCAAAGCTGATCTGACAATGTTTTTAATAGGTTGATTTATTTGATCAGTTTTTGATATCAAGAATAACGAATAGAATAGTTTTCATAGATCCAGATATAAAGTACGAGTTTCTTGTTTGTAGTAAGATAGCATAAAGGGATCATGATGGTAATATTTATTTAATTAATTATTTATTTATTTGAACACAAATATTGGTACAAGAGAGCGCCAATATATATGCGCCACACAAAACAATGAGAATTCGAGGAGAAAAAAAGGTAAGGAGCGCAAAAAAAGGAACAATAACGAAGAGATTGATGTAAGGTAGTGTAGTAATAATAATAGTAATAATGAGGGAACGGAAAGGTACAATCAGAAGAAATCTTTCAGTTAAGGAAGACAACCACTTTTTATGAAGAAAGTAAAAGAAGGTTACAGCGAGATCGCCACTGGCTTATATTCTGAGCCATATCTGATAACTTCTCTAGCCACTGTGTAGCACCATCTCTCGGACCCCGACCAGGGAGTCGTGAAGGACCGACAGAAGCCAGTCCTTTGTAGCTTTCTTTCATACCACGACACTATGTCATACACCGACCACCTCTTCGCTTTTTCCAACCAGTCCCAGCGTCGGCAAATAATGCACGACGTGGAATTCTCTGGGACGACATTTGTGGAACATGTCCAAGCCACCGAAGTCGATGTTTCAAGATGGTGACACCAACTGCATTATCGTCCCTGCGCCCAAACACGATGCCGAACCTCTGCATTACTGACATGGTGTTGCCACTGGATGTCAGCAAACCTTCGGAGACAACGATGATCGAACACGGAGAGTCGTCTAACATCCTCATCTCGGACAGGCCAGGTTTCACAAGCATAGAGCAAAACTGCTCTCACCGACGCGTTGTAGATCCGACCTTTTACAGCCAGACTAACATCACGAAGGCGCCAAAGGTGGCTCAGATTGCCAGGAGCAGCTCTGGCTTTCACTATTCGTGCATTGATCTCATCACTCACACCCCCACCAGCACTTATGCAGCTGCCCAGACACACGAACTTCTCAACTACGTCTATCTGCTCACCATCCAGGGTGAGTACAGGATTGGAATCCTGCCAGTCTTGTAGAAGTACTTTGCACTTCGAAGGTGCAAAGCACATACCGTACCTACGGGCATTGATTGCCAACCGATTAAGTGTGGATTGCATGGCTTGAACATTATCACACAATAAGACAATATCATCCGCATACTCAAGGTCGAGAAGTCTTTCTCCAGGCAACAGATCCACACCACCATTACTTACATCCATCAGAGCTGTTTCCAGAATGTCATCGATGGCAAAGTTGAAGAGGAATGGTGAGATCGGGCAACCCTGCCTAACCCTACTGCTCGACTGGAACAATGGAGAGAGGTGGTTGTATGCCCTCACTCTGCCTGAGGTGTTTGTATATAGGGCTTTTCGAATGTTATTAAACTTCTCAGACACACCCTTCTTCAATAGACAATCCCAGAGAACAGTCCTGTCCAACGAATCGAAGGCAGCCCTGATGTCAAGAAACACTACGATTGTTGGCCTTTGATAAGTATGGCGGTGTTCTAGCATTTGGCGGAGGGTGACGATATGATCAATACATCCTCGACCAGAACGAAACCCAGCCTGCTCCTCGCGAGTCAATCTTTCTCGGGTTTTGAACAACCTACGAAGTATGACGGAAGCCAATAGCTTGGACGCAATCGGAAGTAAACTTATCCCTCGATAGTTGTTACAGGAACGACGTGAACCCTTTTTAAAGATAGGGACAACTATCGACTCATTCCATGACGTTGGAACACTCTCTAACACCCAAACATTTGTAAACAACGTCGTCAATTCCTTAGTCAAAAAGTCACCACCATCTTTAAAAAGAGCCGGAGGTAAGTCATCTGGGCCAGGTGTAGCGCTTCAAGAGTTGGAGTTCCTTGCGGACTTCCGCCTCATTTGGTGGATCAATCGTCACCAGCCGTGGAGGGCAGGACAGTCTGACCGACGTTGCCGGAGAAGCAGGCCAGTTGAACTGCCCTTCGAAGAATTCTGCCCACCGTCCAAGACGTCGATGGATGTCAGTGATTGCCATCCCATCATTCTCACAGATGGTTTCGCTCACACCAGACTTCTTGCTGCCAGTGGCTCGGATGAGTTGGAAGAGCTTCAGGTTGTTACCAGATGCAGCTGCTGCTTCCAACTCATTAGCACGCTCCGACCACCAGGCTTCTCGGTCCTTACGCAAGCTTTGCCCAATTTACTTACGTAACATCCTTCGTTTGTGGTCAAACTCACGGTCAGCCGGAGTAGACCGACGGGCTTCAATGAGTTGTAAGGAACCAGAAGAAACCCAGTGCTTATAAGCGGGACGTTCCGCGAACCCACAACTGACTGTTCCCGCCATTTTCATGGCGTCATGCAATTGCAACCAATGCTCATCTATACTTTTCGGTGGAATGGTAGCTAGCCTAGCAGCTAGCTCGGTTCGATACTTGCTAGCAACAGAAGTTGCAACCAGATTGTTAACATCAATCCGTTGGTGGCGGTCACTTCGTTGTTCACTGGAAAGGAAGGCAAGATTGGCGCAGACCAAGGCATGATCAGAGTCCAGATAGGTACTCCAAAAGGAGCGGCAGTCTTGTACACAACCACGCCAGCGGTAGCTGATCACGATGCGATCAATCTGAGTCCAGGCTTGAGATACAGAGGGAGGACGCCAGGTGGCACATCGGCGATGACTGTGCCGAAAGTTAGTGCTAGTCAGAAACAGGTTGTGGTCTGTGCACAGTTGCAGTAGACGGTCCCCGTTATCTGACCTGCGACCAACGAGTCCCCATCGCCCACCTAAACCACTCTCTTCTGTGCCTAGATGCCCGACCTGAGCATTCAAGTCTCCGGCTAGTACTACAATATCTGTCGAACGCACTTTCTGGAGAAGAACAGTTAACTGGTGGTAAAACTCATCCTTGATTGCATCCGAGCTGCAATCTGTCGGGGCATAGGCGAAGATGACGGAAAGACATAGTTTCTCACGTCAATTTCTTCTCACTTCGATGGAACTTTCTAATCTGACAGCACATAATCGACTGTTAATGGGGATCCAATCGACTAGTGCTGCCTCAGCTCTAGCGATTAGTGTGACACCAATGCCAACAAGGTCAGACGAAAATGCCACAGGGTTTCCGGATAAACGCACGCAAAACAAGCTTTTCGAAGCGACAGATGGAGATCGAACTTTTAGTACTTCGCCAGAGTCTTGAATACGGGTCTCGGATAGACAACAGACATCAATGTTAAGACTTTCCAAAGACATAGCCAGCCCTATCTGTTGTCCGACCTGCATAAATGTGCGAACGTTGAAGGCAGCCAGTTTGAGTGGTGCACGTGGTTTCAGAAAAACTGCTTCAGTACTCATATTCGGTGGTAACATACAATTTTCAACCAGGCAGTTACTCGAGAACGTTTAGATAGAACTGAGTTTCCACCACAGGCCAGCTGCTGTATAAGTCGAAAAATAAGGATACATAAGGTGGGAATAAAAGAGTGAGTAAATGACGTAGCAAATATTAATAATAATAATGTGAATTGTTTGACTGTGAATCGAAGTGAGAATAGAATTTTCAGTAAATATCATCACTTTCATTTTATTTGTGTGTGGGCTGTGATGCTGCCCTGGTGCCCAAAACGAAGCAGGTGGTTTTCTTAGAGGGCCACACCTCGAGCCTTTGACCTAAAGGTGTGATCCACAAGGCAGTGGAGCATCGTGAGGAGATGCATTCCCATGGCAGCCGGTGACCAACGATTGGTTCATACGCCATTTGTTCCCGCAGGATACTGGAGCCCATGTGCACCATTGGTTTGGAATCCGGTTAAAGCGCCGGACATTCGCTTTTCGTAAACAACACCGCAGCCACGAGAAGGCAATGAGTAGGACTTCCCTAGCAGAGGCTGTATACGCGTGGCCGTGTGAGAGTATTTCGAGAGGGAGAGCGGACTCTCCCCACTCTCGGCCGTACCAGGGCATTTGGGGGCATGATGGTAATATAATTTATTAGCATTAAATAAAACGTCACTCGGTAGTCTTACCACATAAACTTCCTAAAACATCTGGTTCATAAATAAAACGAGGATTTTTTACATAGATATGTACCAGGTGAGTTTTAAAGTCACCACCAATCAGCGTTCCATGTTTCAAATAAATGATTGCTTGTCATGAGTAAAAAATTATCAGTCAACATCAACCAACGAATTTTTATTGAGGAAATAGCAGCTATTTGCGGACATTTCCGTTTCAACAATGATAAGTTTAATTATGATATTTATATATGCTACTGAGAACTGTTCTGAGCCCTTATTTTGAAATTTAATTCCGGTTTGTGTAGTAGGGTGATGTAAACATTTTTATTCGGAATAGCCATGAGCTTAAATGTGTGATGTTTACATCGAATTGCAAACAATAATGGATATCCACTTAGTATCGGTCCATCAATAGCCATCTGCTTGCTGATGCGACTTGATATTTTTACAGCAAAAGTGCAAAGGACACTGTCTTTGTAGTTATTGCTTTGTCATTTCCTTGAAGAGTTTACTACCATAGACAATGTGTGGTATTAGTTTCTATCATTTTTAAAAAGTGTGAAATAGCATCATTCTGAGCAGTGACCAAACGTAATCTCACCAAGTATGTTTCTGTATTTGCTCAAAGTGATTTAAATTCAGATACAGAAGACATAGTTTATGATTATAGTTTGTTTTGATTGCTGGGATATCCACCTGCTTTCTAGGAGGATTGCAATAAAATTGAAAGTGCTAAATGTACCGTGCTAATGTGGTATGGCAACTCAAACTCATGTACGTACGTACAAAGTTCTACGTTGTTACTGACTGACCGAAATGTACTGTTTAACTTTTTATAGTTCTATACATACTAATCCTCTATTGGTGTAAATCTTTTGATAGACAAACAATTTAATGTTTCAGTTGTTAATTTTTAGGTTGGTTTGGAAATGTCAGCTGCAGTACATATTGGTGAACTTGCATTTTTAAAGATGGTTTTACATGCTGCCAAGCATCCAGAGAGTTCCGTCAATGGTATTCTTTTAAGTGATCAAAACTGTGATTCACAAATAATCATTACTGACTATATTCCGCTATTTCACAGTGTCATAAATTTGACACCAATGCTAGAAACAGCTTTGTATCATGTTAGTCAAAATTCGTGTTTATCAAAATTGAATGATAGGTAGACTCATATTGTGCAGCTAAAGGTCTTCAAATATGTGGTTATTTCCAAGCAAATGAATACATTAATTGCAATACGTAATTTTGTTATTTTTTCATTTTCCACTGTAAAAAATATAGCCCAACAAGTATTGCATGCAAAATTGGTGAGAAGTTAGCTGAAAAATGTGGCAACGTTTGTTTATTGACTGTAAGTTACATTATCCGGTTACGATCTGTAAAAAAAACCTGATAATTTAATAGTTTAAAAATGATGCTTTGCATCGGTTAACTGGAAACTACTTTACAGTATTTTGCAAATCAGATTGGAAGTGGAATGATACAAAGTAAGTTCTACTTCAGTAAATATTGTGTTCATGAATTCAGGTACACATTTAATCCAAATGTTAATAAAAAGTTAAAAGAAATTCTACATTTAAAAGTTCACCGTCAAATTGTTGATTTTGATGATCATTTGAATGATGTTAATTGTGATTTTCTTAATTTACAATTATCGAAATCGTTATGTGTATAAATTGATTTTTTAATGTAAAGTTTTTAATTTTTTTTCCAAACAACAATAATATCTAGCTGACATCTTTTTCTTAATTGTTTTAGATATTTGCTAAATAATATTTCTATGAAATAATAACGTATAGCTAGATATTACCGTAGAGTTTTTGTTTTATCCTTATGCCGGATTAATTATGTAACGTGATATGACCACCAATTAAAGACACTGACTTATACAAGCAGTCTAGTTTTCTTATTGATCTACCGAGATGATAGCTTTTCTCCTAATCCAGCCTGTTTAAGTCCAGAACGCTAATATCAGCCTCCACAATACGAATCATACATTTAAGTTATACTGAGTTTATATACAATCAAACCAGACTGCATCATACCATAAAATAGAAAATAACAATTATACAAGATCAAGTCAAAAATTGGCTGTGATTATGAGAGACGGTTATTAATAAATTGGGAATATCTTAAGAATATTAAATCGTATAATAATAGTCAACAGGTCAAATAAAGTTCATAATAAAAAGAATATGAATATACATAAAGTATAGTTACTTAATGGTTATATAATAAGAATATATGTAATAAATGTCCACAAATAGATCTTAGCGGTTACTATTCACATATTCTTCGTCCGGAAACAACAGTTTTGGTAAAGCGAACACTAGGAAACAATTCAATAACGTATGATACGATTGTCACGGATTAATACTGGATACTTTTCCCAGGAATTTCTTCTCATGCATTAAACATGCTTGTAACAATTAACAGGGCTAGGAGAATATTTAACAAATAACTACCGTCCGCACTTATTAGCTGATCACACCTTATTATGATAAAACATACAGATAAAGTGTATCATGACTTTCGTAAATGTAAAGTATCAATTCATACATTCGTAATTTTAACGTTCGATCTCGTAAGTTGTGTTAAAAAACTTCTTAATTTAATGTTAGTTCACACGATATCCTCTGTAAACATAATACTATTGATTGATAAAATATGAACTCATCTCATTTATATTGTTGCATGTTGTCTTTTAAAATTATGATTAAAAACATAACGTATTAAATATCGTGATAAAAAAAAGACACAATTAGATATTACTATCCTATAATAGAAGAAAGACAGGAGAAAATACATTTTGGGAATCAATAAAATTTAATCAACCGTCAGTAAATAAACTTCAGTAGATTTGTTCATCTCTTGTAGCTCTCCTAGAGTCACTACCGGTTCCAAGCCTGGGTAAAAGAAAAGGGTTTGGCATGGAGTCGGCAACCCTGCACCAGAGAAAAAAACCTTGCTAAAAACTCCAACCAGATATGTTCGAGAGTACCTTTAAAAAGTTGATAACTAGATTTATCCTTAAATACATTATTCCTAGCTTAAAAGTAAAATTAAAATATTAAAAGATTATCACACAAAATTGATGTATTATCAGGCTGCTCTCAAGATCTATGGTAACATGTATCACAAAGTGACAAGCCTCTATAAGATCGGAACGATCAATACATAAAAATAGAAGAGGATCCAACGAAGAGAATTTCATTTTCGATGTAATCCTTACTTACATTTGTATTTATAGTTGTTTGGTAAATATATACGTCTATAGAAAGATAGCGTCACAAATAGATTCGAGATTTCAAATGAGGTTGCATAATAAGCATGGGGTTAGAGAAGAATAGTAAATAGAAAATAATTTACGAGTCAGAATTATGAGATAACTATCCCCTTGAAGGATATGGATAGAAATGAGAAATATAAAGTTTACAATAACTGGATAGTACTGCAGATGGAAATTAAGACAAAGAAAGAATCCTAGCCCCATACTAATAACTACTATTTGTTCACCAGTAGCTGGCTTCGTGTGGGGATTCTCGAAGTTTTAGTGAGAGATCGTGACCAGTGAGGCTAATCCGTGTCAGGTATCTACCTCAGACAGTGCAAGATGGTCGCACAATTACATGGCTTGCTTGAAGTTGGGCATCGATGCTGTCTTAGGCGTCTAGAGGTTAAGCGTTCGCGCACGAGACCAATGAACCTGGGCTCTCATCCCGCGTGCGGGGTTGTGGGTGCGCACGGTTGAGGGGTCCCATGCCAAGACGAAAAAGTTGTCCAGTATTTCTGAGTTTCCAATGATGGTCTGACAATGGTCGATTCATGGTCTCAATCAAAAATTCTACAACAACAGCGCCATATTAATAAGGGATGAGTGGTTGAACGTATCGTTTTTGCACGTAGAGTTCGGGCTTGGACTGGTTGATCTCCAACGCTTCATCAGTAAATAGGTTTTTGATTAGGCCTCCATTAGATTATTTTGAAGGGAGACTTTTCAAGCAACATGTTCAAGGTTGAACTGGTGATTGCTTTTCGCCCTCCATTTTAAAAGCCATGTCGGGTAATGTTCTAGGATGCATTTTGGTAGTGATCGCTTCGTGCGGCCAATGTAACCTGCCACACAACAGCAAGTAAATTTGTTTTGCTTTTATTACTGTTTTGTAACTTTGAACCGTAATCCGTTATCATTATCCCTTAACAACGTTTCATGATTACTATCCATTTGTTATTATAACCTTTGCGTTTCTTAATTTTCTTATCTCAAGATGCCACAGGTATTCTGAGTTTGACGACGCCTTTACACGTAGGTCCTTCAGTTAGGTGTGTTTAGAAAAGCTAATGAGGTCAGCATCAGTGTTAAAGACTTACAGAACCACCTAATTTGGGGATTAATTTACCGCTATATATCTGTCAAGTATACAATTATCTCTCATAATTCTGACTTTTTCCATCTACTATTCTTCTCTAACCCCATGCTTATTACGGAACCTCATTTGAAATCTCAAATCTATTTGTGATGCAATCTTTCTAAAGACCTATGTATTTGCCAAACAGCTATAAATATAAATGTACAGCTTAAGGAAATTTTATTCGCTGAATTCTATTTTTATTCAACGGCAATGTATTTCTGAAGATAGTTAGAAATGAGCTCAACATTCATCATGAGCTAACTCATAGGGCTAGTACGCAAAGATCACTGTCTGATGTCGGAAATTCCTAAATACTAGGTTTATATAAAACAATGATACATCTGTACTGTAGCTAACATTCAGTATTCGATCATAGGTGTCTTTGAAACACTGCTCGGATATTCTCCATCCCAATAGGCAGTTGATTGAAGGTCTGTATATAACACTTTTTGGTAGAACATGCTGGCGAAGACACTCGTGGAGAAAATACAGTTGTTCTCGAGTGGAAGCATGCCTTTTGGCGAAATTCTCACATTTTCGAACAAAGAAGCATACTACGTTCATATGGTTTTGAAATGGTGAAGATTTGTAGCTGAAGTTTGTGCTGATGATGTCGTTCAGAAGAACGATGAAACCTGCACAACCAAACCATCCAGCTCAGAGAACAAAGCTTCACCAAAATCAAATTTTCTCTATTGTTTCATAGATTTGTGCTTTTAGAATTGTTTCCTGCATGCCTCATGTATTTTGCTACCATAATCGTGTTACTAATTCTACTACTCTGAAAATTTATCTCGTATTAATAGGGTATGGCAACTTGAACCGATGTAAATGTGCTAGGTACTATGTTGCGTCTGGCTGACTAAAATATTCAGAAACACATTAGGCGTTTGACACAACCGATCATACGAAATATTTGCTATGTTGTAATCGGAACACACTTCATAAGTAAGTTCTAATGTGATGTGATAATTTGGGCCAATATACATCTGTGCTAGTTTCTATATTGACGATGCCTGTCTGTCCTTTATAAGTACAATGTCCTCATCATGAAGCTGCTGCATCAACACAGTGATTTAACTTTCCTGTTTTATGTAACTTCGTCGTTTTGAGATTTGTTAGCGGAATTCATGACTTTTACCTCAGTCAATTACTAACACCAACTTGAATAGCCAACATAATTGCCATAATAAACGTTAAAATATTAGGGATTCCAATGTTCAACAAACTACGAAACAATAACATCTTAAAGTTTCAGTGGAGTTCCTGTCAACCTTCAAGTCAATACGGTCTTCAATATGAAATTGCTTTCTCGAGAGACAAATTCAACGTGGTTTTCTACCGCTGATTAATATGTCTTATGTTGCCATCACCGCTTCTATTGTTTTACTGAAATTGGTCGGTGAAACTCAGTATAATATTCCCGCCTATGGGGAAAAGTTTCCGAAATATATGATGCTCCACAAGCCACAATAACCTAGGTTTTCTTGGGATTAACTATTGATAGAATGTCCTAAATAAGATTGGTCAACCAAACAGTAAAGGGTATCGAATAATATGTCCAAGATCTAAGGAATATATCAGAGCCATTAATGCTAATCCTATGCTGTGTACCAGAAACTCTTCATGTACTGATTTCATCTGTCTCATGGGCTCCAACTAAAAATATCTCTATAGCCTTACACAACTTTTCGAAAAGACAGTTATCTTCATAGTCCAGTGCATTGCTTTCGTTTGTCTATATGTGACACACAAGGGAGAAAGCAAGATCCTCAAATACAACACGGAGAACACCAATCCAATCATACTTGGTGGAGAAATTATGGATGAGGTGGACATGTGCTTCTTCAGACAGCATAAGAGGAACTCCGTGAGTGTGTGGAACATTTTCCTCTTCGTGACCGGAGTACAGGAGCACCTCCCCCGTATCTAGCCTTTGCTGTCCAGCTAGGGTCCAATGTGTTTCGCTGATTCCGAGTACTGCCAGTTCGTATCTCCCCATTTTCGTTGCTAGTTGACTGGTCTTTCCTATTTCCCACATTGTCTGGAGGTTCCATGTGCCTATAAAAATTCTTGCTCTGGTTGTTAGAAGGGGAATCGGCCACGCGACTTGCAAGGAATTTCGGCTTTCATCCTGAGGCGTCATAATTCTTCCTTCAACTCCCCGGCAGAGTTTAACTGGTTTAATTCATTTAATCTGGTTGGTGCTTTTTAGCATGATTTTTTTCTACGGGTTAGGGTTTCTGACCCCATGCCCAATCCTCCTCTTTTTCCCGGGCATGAGACCGGTAGTAATTCTAGAAGAACAGGCGGAATTTGATTCAAACTATGAAATATCTAATATTTATCTATCAAAATGCAACTCAATACATAGGATGAGATTGATTTAAAATCCATCGAAATTACCTGAGTCATAAAGGTTACCAAGCATCAAAGTATTCAATTTACGTTGATTTGATTATAGGCATCGTCATTAATGTGTTATAATCAAGTAAAGATGAGCCATACTTCTATCAAGGTGCTAGATGTCACAACATTTATTAAATTTGAATGGTAGAAGACTGAGAAATTAGAGTTAGTTTTCAAACTAAAAATTATATAAGCAGACATGTCTTCGTAATGCTAGCATTTTA